TGGTAAAAAATACTAATAATAAAAAAGTTGAAATAGTGACAACTAAATATTTATCAGCAGTAATTTAGGGCATCACGTATGAGAACAACATTTTTCATCCGACGTGTCCGACTGCTACTGGCACCATGACTGATGACTTGCATCGTTGCCACATTGATTATAATCTGTTTCTACGCGGTATTTCAAGAATTCTTACGCGGTTTATGTATATTGATTTTGGGTAAATCAAGTCACATCAGTTATGTCACTTTCTAGGATGTTTCCTGTTTAGTATCTGTGGAAAATCCCTCATTTCTCATTCAATAAAAGGGTTTTCCACATCGCCCCTTTTTATTCATTTTCTCTACTAAGAATCAGCCCTTTTGTCGATTCAGCTTACATCATCTAGTTTTCTGTGTTAAAGTTTGGATCTTGGTAATGACTGTACCTCCGGTGGGCAATCAGGTGGAAGTTCCACCGTTGAATACTTTACCGATTGGATATCGTTTTCGGCCCACGGATGAGGAGCTTATCAATCATTATTTGTGCTTGAAGATCAATGGTTGTCATGACCAAGTGGGTGTTATTCGTGAAATTGATATCTGCAAATTCGAGCCCTGGGATTTGCCTGGTTAGTTCCGTCAACATTTTCTTTTGCCCTCTTTTTAAATCCTTTTTTTCCTTTTATGTGTGTTATTGGTCAGCGATTTCATGTCAAAATCGAATTTTGTGGGAAGGGAAACCAGTATTCACTGAACAATTAGAGAAGTGGTTTGAGTTATGATTCTTGTTGATGGATACACAATCCCTTAAAAGAAAAAAAACAATTAGAAGGACAAAGGGGCAATTTGAATTGGCCAAGAAATTTGATTCCTAACTCATCTTTTCAAAAAAAAATTGTGGGCTTTGGTGATTGTAAAACCTGATTAACAGCTTTCAGGCCCTTGATCATTTGTGCCTTACTTTTGATTTTGCACGGTAAGTGTAATCGTTTTCTTCGGGTTGGGAGAGTTGATTGCTTTGTGAATAATCAGTTCCATAAGCTCCAGTTACAAATTCGCAGACCGAGTAGCTAATCCTTTTTTACTCCAGATTATGAGCACTCGATCGGATCTCTTTTTCTTTGCTATTTAGGGAAAATGGGTGGGGTGGGGTAGGGGGAAGGGAGACAATTCTGTTGATGATCCTCACAGTTGAAATAATTGTGATTAGCTTTGCTTTTGGGTGCTTTTGACCTACTTTTAGTAGGAAGTTTTGAAATGAATGGATGAAGCTATAATCTTGGTTTTTGGTCCACTAATTATCATTTGTAGCAATGTTCTTCCATATGGTATACTCTGGTAATGTTTATCACCATATTTTTTTTGGCTTAAGAAGTTCAGGGGTGCAGCTTTCACTGCACCGACTCTTTTTTCTCCGTTGTCCTAGCTCAGAAGCTCCAACACCAACAAAGCCCCTTTGTATTTTCCACTTTGAAGTTCATATTTGAAAAGAATGTAATGGTATGAATTGTTTCAAATGATTGCAGATTTGTCTGTTGTAGAGTCAAATGACAATGAGTGGCTCTACTTCTGCCCGATAGACAGGAAGTACCAAAATGGGCAGCGATTGAACCGAGCAACAGAACGAGGATACTGGAAAGCTACTGGTAAAGATAGAAGCATAGCTACTAGAAAGGGGGCAAAGATTGGGATGAAGAAGACTTTGGTATACTACATTGGGCGAGCTCCTGAAGGGAAGAGGACCAATTGGGTGATCCATGAATATCGTGCAACTGACAAGTCATTGGATGGTTCACACTCTGGACAGGTAGGGACTGAAATCTTTCTTCTCTCTTCACTTTGAACTTCTTTTCATATATCTTAGTTTTGGGATGGTTTTAGTTAGAAAAAGATTGTTTGTTCCATATGTGAAATTATGGGTTAATCTAATCTACGTGAAGGTATAGTGGTATATTTGGCTGTTTCTTATCTCAGAAAAATCATGTCTTTATTTATCAATAGTGTTTACTTAAATGGAGTGGCATATGACTGGTCAGTTTAATTGCAGTTAGTCCACTTATATTCTGTTAGGACAACAAGAGGTTGGGTGCAACATTTTGTGGTGTAGCCATGTAAAACTTACTTTTTGGCGGGTCCAACATTTTGTGAGATGTCCGAATCAACAACTGTGGATCAGATGCACCATTATTAGTTTAATCATTGAAGCTTACTGTTCCATTCCTATTTTGTGATGTAGCAAATTGGGCCATATTAGATTATTAGTAATCATTTTCCTGGTGCAGGGAGCCTTTGTGCTTTGTCGTCTCTTTAAGAAGAATGAATTGAAGCAAGATGAAAATGTCGAAAGTTCACACTTTGATGAAGTTGAACAGCTTGTTTCTTCTCCTGCTGTTGGAAAATCACGAACCAATGATGGATTATCAGCAGCGGCTCTATCTCCAATCATGGAAAGTGAGAGTAACAGAAGTAACCCACCAAAAACCTCTGGAGGTAAAACTCATGACACAAGATTATCTATTAATAGTTGTGGCAATAGTTGCACTGCTGGTGATGCTGAAGATCTGATGTTGGACATAACATCAGGACAAGTAAGTAGAGCAATTCCCATTTCTGCCTTTTTCTTAAATATTGAGTTTTTCATTGCAGACAATTGGTTGAACTAATATTGTACTTATTTCTTTGCTTCATATTTTAGTCAGATCTCCAGATAGAGGAACTGTTGGGACTCTTTCGTGACCCTTCACCAGAGCCTATTGATTGGTCTCCGTTGCATTCACAGTCGCAGTTGGAGTTTGGATCTTCTATCTCACATGGTACCATGACCAATGAGATAAGCTCTGATCAAAAGGATGTCCAATGTCAGAATGGAATAAATGATCTCAATACTAGTGAGTTTTTAAATTCAATTCTTGTCAGCTCTGATGAGCTTTCCTATGAAGATTCTGATGCGGAATTGAGGTCAATATGGTTTGCCTCGAACAGTATTAACACTATAACAAGGGCACCAGTTAAGGACTCTGGAATGTGTAGTGTGTTGAAGTCACAAGTCACACAAGAGCCAGTAAGTGGAACTCTATAGGGGTCTTTCAGTTTCTTGCATTTGTGAGTTGTCTCAAGACGTCACTTACTTGAAACTTTTTAACTGTTTTTTAGAGAACTGATCTTCTGCTGCTATTCTTTTTGTCCCAGGTTAGGAGAGATTTATTTGAACATTGTGGAGAGACTGCAGTAATGAGAGAGGTTAATTCTGTTGCAACCACAGTGGAGGAGGTGTTTGCAACACCTTATGTTCGCAATGATCACTCAATGGGGAATGTAGGCACTGATTCTGCTTTTGGAATAACACGAAGGACTCGGCAGGTGCAGAATCAACCTGACGACAGCCAGCTGGGATCTGGAATGCAAGGAACTACTGTTAGAAGAATACGTTACCAAGTGAAACTTCAAGCTGGAAGAGTAGAGTGTCGCATGCCGACTGATTCTGATCAGGGTGGAGCAAATCATGAAGGACTGTCAACTGTATCTGAGGTAAGTCTCTCTAATCCCTCATGAAAAAAAGGGCTAAAAGATGACACATTGACATATATTTAATAATTGGCATGTGCAGAGTGAAAAGTTCTTCAATGAAGAAGCTTCTACTCCGAGTGCTGCTATCTCCAGCGATGAGACACAAGATACCACGTGCAAAGAATTTAAAGGGGATTGTCAAATGGCTGAAGACTTGAGTGCAAATGTGAAAGATACAAATGGTTTAAAGAGAGCAGCATCGTCTTCGTTTACATTAAGTTTCTACATAGCCAAGGTGCTCGCGGTTGCAAGTTTACTCATGGTCTTCTTAGGTGTTTTGGGATGCTTTAAGCTGAGACAGAGTGCATCCAAATTGTAGCTTTTTGTAACTGGCTTAACATGTTTAGTTGATTTTATCTCCTTTTCAAATACTGCAAAGGAGCTAAAGTTGAGAAAACTTGGAAGTTACTAGTGTATATTTTATATTATAATTAGCTTGTTTTGTACATTACTAGTACTATATTGTGTAAGGAGATCTAGTTAATTTAGACTTTTTCCCTGTAGATTTGCATTTGGCATTTTGATTTCACCTGCTTGATTATTCTACCTTCCCTCAATATATATGGACATCTCCCTGGTTCTACTCAAAGAATGCAATAACGTCTGTCTGCAAGGTGAAGAAATTTCATATCGTTATTAAGTGCATTTCCCTATATTATCAGATCTTCGTCATGCTTGTGCTCTTCATTTGCTAGAAAATCGTTACATTGATTCCCCCTCTCATTATATTTACTTTGGAAAGTCACATGACTTTGTCCTCTTATTACAAATGTTTTAGCCAGTTACTGAATATTTTATTTATAGAAATTCTGATTTAATGTACTTCCTGTTGTAAATTGATAAACTATAAAATAATATAAAACAAGAAATATAGACAATAGTTGTAGAGTTTTTGTCATTCAAGTGTGTATTTGTGAAAACCCATTTATATGATTGTACAAATCATCCGTCTGTTACATATCTCAAGCAATACGTTATTAATTAGATACAAATATGATAAATGATCCATTGAATGAACATCCACAATTACTAAATTCATAACATCATGTAGTAGTTTTTTATTATATAAAGAGTAGCTTGTAATGTCGGTCCATTTTAATTATCTTGTTTACTTAAAGTAAGCGATTTGAAATTATTGTCATTTTAAAAAAATCAATATATAGATCAATTATTAATTTTCATTTTTATCCTTATTCAATAAATGTGGAAACAAATTATTTTGGTGAAAGTACTATTAGATTGAGATTGTAACAAATAAAAATAATTTAGTCAAATTACTTTTTTTCGTTAATATTTGTACTTCGTACGTTACCTCATTCTTCTTTTTTACGATCTCGCAGTTTAACTTCCTAAAGAATACGGAAAAAAAATATGACAAGTAAAATAGATCATATTTTTCGCGAATATATCCAATAAAAGTCGTCGGTCGTTTGCTCATTTTACTTGTGTAAAGAACGATTAGATGAACCATCAACTACCGCAAAATCACACAGAAAAACTGGCAAAATGTTCACATTTTCTCCAATTTTAGTACTCCTATTCCTTTTCTGCTTCAGCTTACTGTATTCAGTTCAAGGCAGCTACTTTGATCAAGAATTTGTTAAGCAGGTACTGAATTCAGCAAGTAAAGATAAAGATTGGTTAGTATCCATAAGAAGGAAAATTCATGAATACCCAGAACTCAGATTCGAAGAATATAATACCAGTGCTCTGATTCGTAGTGAACTTGATAAGCTTGGGGTTTATTATGAATACCCTTTTGCTAAAACTGGTATTGTTGCTCAAATTGGCAATGGTTCTCCCCCTGTTGTTGCTTTGCGAGCTGATATGGATGCCCTTCCTATGCAGGTTTCTCCTAGTTACTTATGTACAAAAAGATTCTTTTTTTTCCTTAGTTACATGGTATTCCCTGTGTTTCAGTTTGTTTGTCTGGTTTTGATTTGGGAAGAAGTTAAAGAAAGTAACAAAACTTTTGAAGATATATTGAATTTACTAAAATATCATATAATCTTGTGATCTTATAGATGCCATGTGAAAATTTAGAATTAAAGATTTGTCAAAAATGAAACAGATATTCGTTTTGAAATGGACTGAAAAGGAAAGTAAAACAGATAAATTGAAACTGGGTGAGCATAATTTCTAAACATCCTTGCACCCTTCTACCTCCGCCCTGAGTTGGGCGGTATCAAATCTAGAGGATTCAATATTAGTTAGATTGTTTTTACACTGGTTGTCAGCTTGTCACAATCCTCCAACTTTATTTGGAGTTGTGACAGACTATGCTTTATGAAGATTATATAGGGGGAGTTATAAAGAGATAATTAGTACTGTGCATATTTAAGTGTAAAATGTCTCTGGTATTGATCTCAAATGAATATAACCGTAGGAACTTGTTGAATGGGAACATAAGAGCAAAATTAATGGCAAAATGCATGGATGTGGACATGATGCTCATACGACGATGCTTCTTGGTGCTGCTAAGCTGCTGAATGAACGGAAGGACAAACTTAATGTGAGTTCTTTTGATGTTTGGTTTAAAGGAACTTTACTCTTCACTAGTACTGATTCATTTGGAATGTAACTCGTGCTTGTGACATGAGAACTGAACTTTTTCAAGTGGTGAACAATGGTTGAGTTAACATCATGTGTTTCTTCATACTTTTCCTCTCTTCAAACTTCTAAAGGCCTCACAATTAGAGGGATAGTTTGATTCCCTGAATTCTTCCTTTAAGCTCATAGAGACCTTATCAATGCCTAAAAGGAACTTAGAGATTTTCTCCTTTTCAAAAATATCCTTGAATCTTCTGGCATCTCCTGGCATTCAGAATCAGGACTTTCAAAAGTAGCTAGTTGTTTCCAGAAACGGCCGAGAGCACAATAATGTTTGTAACTGACATATCACCTTGTGGGAGATCATGTGGAGCACTAGTCAAAAAAGTTAAGTTACATTTTTATTGTCTTAATATCATAATTTGTCTTCTTTGGAACAGTCTGAATTTCATAGGTCAGAAGAGCGAAGTTTCCTTATTTAATTGTCGATGTTGCTAAGTAACTACGATATGACCATATTGTTCTTTGATTCTCAAAATCTGAATTTGGGTCATCCTTCCCTAGAGGACTAGTAGTGCACTAGGAAGGATGATCTAATCATTTTCGAAGGCCACTTACCATTTCTTGGATCTCTTTATGTATAACTACATATGCTTCATCTTGCATATATCCATCAGAACATTCTGTTTTGAACCACACTCTTTGCTCACTTGTCAGTCTGTAATTGTCTGAATGATACTACTAGATTTTTCTTTTCAACTTCGTAAGGATACATATGTCACATGACACTCCAAAAGTACTGTTCAAATTCACCTAATCTGCTTGGTCCTTTGTGTGGCATCATACAATATCAGGCAATATCTCTTTTTGCTAAACTCAATATTATTGTAATTCTATTGTAAACCACAAAGGGAACCGTCAGACTTGTTTTCCAACCTGCGGAGGAAGGAGGAGCTGGTGCAAATCATATGATAAAGGAAGGAGCTCTAGGTGATGCAGAAGTTATATTTGGTATGCATGTTGATTTTAAAAGACCTACAGGGGGCATTGGCACTAGTCCTGGACCCCTTTTAGCTGCCGTTTGCTTCTTTGAAGCAAAAATAGAAGGAAAAGGAGGGCATGCTGCACAACCCCATGAAGCTGTGGATCCAATACTTGCTGCATCATTTGCAATTGTGGCATTGCAGCAGCTCATCTCAAGAGAAGTAGATCCCCTTCATAGTCAAGTACGCACCTTAATCTCAATTTTTGTCCATTGAGCATTCTCAAAGCGAGGCAAAAAAACATGTTAGCGCTTCGCCTCGCTTAATTGTGCTTCAGTGTCATCATTAAGGCTCTAAGACATACTTTTCCTTGCAAATGAAGGTCTTCTAAAGAGACGACACTAAACAATTGATATTTCACTTTATCGTTATTTTTTTTCCAGTTTATTTGTCCATATATTTGTTAGTAATGTTTATTATTATTAGTTTTAGACTTAACATATATATATTGTGGTCTTTTTTCGTTTGTGCCTTTTTTCGTTAAAGCCCATGCTTTTGTGCTTAAAGACCCAATGGTGAATAGACCTAAGAGCTTTATTGCACTTATGATAACACTGGTCCAATCCTTTGTCTTCTATTTTCCTTGAAGATGTTTACCTCATAAGAAGTGTACATAATGGTATGTTTAATATTATATAGGAACATGTATTCCCTTTACGAACATTTTTTGTTTTTAACAACTCATTATTTTTGAGGTGGAAGCTGTATGATGTTTGAGACCTCAAGCCTCGTTTGATAGTTAGTCTTACTGATATTGAAATACTCACTTCTGCCTGAAGGTTCTTTCTGTTACTTATGTCAGAGGTGGATCAGCATCAAATGTAATTCCATCATATGTTGAATTTGGGGGAACTCTGAGGAGTCTAACGACTGAAGGCTTGTTTCAACTTCAAAAGAGGGTGAAAGAGGTACTTTGTTGAACCCTGGCTCTTGTTAACTATCAACATCTACCAACTAGATTTTCTGGCTGTTTCCTTAACATGTAGTATGTGTTACAAATTTAATGATTTTTTTGTCGATGTTTAATAGCCTTTAACAGATGGCCTTCTTAGGCCATTGGAAAATGATGGGTTACATGTACCTATGTAATGAACTAACAAGATTAAGGATGGCTTCTTGAACACGTATCAAAACCCTTTCTCCAGCTAAATGAATGACCAAACTAATGGCGTTCCTGCAGTTTCCTTCCACAAGTAGGGTATGGGGAGGGTGGAATGTACACAGACCTTACCCCTTCTTGTGTAGGTAGAGAGGTTTTTTTCGATATTCCCTCGGCTCAAGGTCAGCATAAACACAACATATATGGAAATCACTATTGAATCCTTCATTTCTTGATATACTGTTGCAGTAGATTCTAATTGTCTTCAATGTCCAGTATCAACGAAAATGCTTCAAGTTCTTTCTAATAGGAACAGAACCTAGACTTCTCGTAGTAATTTGGTGCACATTTGAAATACATATTTATATGAGCCTGCAGGTAATTGAAGGACAGGCAGCTGTGCATAGGTGTAAGGCGTACATTGACATGAAAGAGGAGGATTTCCCAGCATATCCAGCTTGCACAAATGATGAGAACTTACATCAACATGTAGAGAGGGTTGGCAAACTCGTGCTTGGTTCGGAGAATGTTGGGGAAATTGAAAAGGTCATGGCAGGTGAGGACTTTGCTTTCTATCAACAAGTGATTCCTGGAGTTATCTTTCAAATAGGGATCAGAAATGAAAAGTTGGGCTCTACCCACGCCCCACATTCCCCTCATTTCTTTCTTGACGAGGATGTCCTTCCAATTGGAGCAGCAATGCACACAGCCATAGCAGAGATGTATCTGAACGATTACCAACATCCCACTGCAGTTTAGCTAATAACATTATTGTTTGATGGTCTCTTGAGTTGCATAAATGTTCCAATTACTCGTTCATTCTGCACATTGTATACAATACAACATAAATAAGCAAATCTAATGCGGTGATGACCGTCTGTTCATGTGGCCCATTTCCATTTTCTTGATGCCATGGTTGCTCTTGTGCTCTTTAAAAATTTCTCTTATGCAACAAGGCATCAAGTAGTTAAGTATGTAGATCTAAATGCAGTTACAAAATGAATAATGACAGTAGTCTGACACTGTATATGCAAAATCTAGTGCAAGTTACTGTTTTTATGGCAGAATTTAATATGTGTTCATATTTTATGGATTTCTTGATGCATAAAGTGTTGGAAAATTATATGCACAGCGGAAGCATATTTGAATCTTACTGCTTACATGAATAATAGATAACCAATAATCGTTTATGCTAGATCACATAATCATGCTAGAACACATAAACATACTGAAATTTAATTCGATAAATACCTCTTGAAGCGTGAACAAATACCTTCAATCGAATCCCCAAGTTAGACAGACCTTCAAGTGAATCTACAAGATAGCTATGGTCTTCTACAGTGATCCCAAGTTCACATTTGAACTCTCTCAATACTTGGGTGGGCAAGTATGAATAAAAAAAAACTAAATCCATCTTTTTCTAGGTTAGGAGAATCTCTATTTATAGAGATTTCTTCCCCAATCCAAAAAGGAGAAGAAAACCCAGTTTTCTTGAAAAACAAGAAAACCCACGCCTACTCCTTTTTCCCCTAAGAAATAGGATTCTGAGTTCTAGTTAAATATGGGCACCGGAGGGACCACATAATTAATTACTGAAGCTTCCTATAATGGAAATAATTTCAAATAATTAATTTGAATTATTCTTACCATAATAAATTACAAATCATTCCACTAGAAATTCGTAATTGCACTCCTCTATTTATATTTCATAATTCCCCATTAAACATTTATGTAATTCCCCATGTTAAGATTTCAGATACTAATCAATAAATTAAATTACTGACGAATTTAACTTAATGATTAATTTCCTTTAGAGCACTACTTAACTTATTTCATGTGTCGGATTCATAAATCCACTTGCAAGGTTTGACACGATGAAAACTTATAAGTTTCTCAAAAAGGCATATCAATCAATCTCTATAACGAGACATGGATTCCATCAACTAACTTATTATTTCACCAATATATATTATTATCATCCAACTTACCAGGCATATTGACCCATCTCAGAATCTCACCTTTTAATAAATCAAAACGATAATTAATATATACAGATCATAATAGTTATATCAGGATTAAGAATATAAGTACATTTAATAGTTTAGAGAATATGTTTTGTCAGTCAGTATTACATATAATCTTGTGCTACAATCGTACCGATGGCATGTCCAATTTCCATCCTAGATTGTGAACAAAAAACTTTATACTTATAAGAATCGATGATTTAATCCTCTGTGTATAAGCTAAACTCTACACACTAAATCATCTACTATATAAGTAAATAGACACCATAAACGAATATATGATCTATTAAAATTGAGCAAATATTTATTCTATAATAAATATTATTTCTTAACACATGGTTAATAGTATATATCCCAACAATCTCCCACTTAGACTTTTAACCATCACAATTGTTATAATGTACTATATCTAAATGCATGGTTAATAGTATATACCCTAACAATCTCCCACTTAGATATTTAATCTTGAAAATTGTTAGAATACTATGTCTAAACACATGATTAATAGTATATACCTTAACAATCTCCCACTTAGACTTTTAACTATGCATTTACAACTTTCACAAGCATTCCTTTATTTCTATTTTCTCATGCAATTTTGTCTAGTAGTGCTTCGTCGTAACAAATCGATTTTGTACTAGATCTTGAGAGAGCTTCTCATGAAACCTTCCAAGAGTGTACTTCTTTTCAGATCATAAAAGTTCTCTCAAGCATACAAAACAAAACAATCTTCATGATTCTCCCACTACGACAAAGCACTACATAATCACACTTTCATGATCTTGAGTCTTCATGTTTTCTTCAAAATCTTTCAATATTGAAATATTAACAACTTTACACGTAGTGTTCTTCAATTTGCTCAACATCATTTCCACTACTTGAGGTAGTAGTTTTCTTATGTCTAGCAACGTTTCTCCCACTACTTAAATGCAATGGAACGTCATTTTTGACATATCGATTAGATGTTTTTGAGCGTCTGAATTTATAATTGACTTATTTGTTATTTCTTTGTTCGATTCTTGTAAAACTAGTTTACTTCTAGGAACATGGTTTACTAAATGATCCTTTTCTAGAAATCAGACAGTTGTGTTAACAATTGTCTTATTTTCTTTAGTACACTATAATAAACCTTCTTTTATTCTTTAGGATATCTAATTAACACACACATTCCGTTCTTAATTCCAATTTGCTTATTCTCCCACTCAATACCTGTGCTGAACAATCCTATATCTGAACATGTCATGGATTAGACTTACGTCGAATCCAACTAGTTCTATAGTTGTTTAAGGTACTGATTTGAAAGAAATTGAATTCAGAATGTGATATGTAGTTATTAGAACCTATCCCAAAAGAAACAAAATAACTAATAATAAGTCAATAATTAATCTTATCATCTTCATAAGAGTCTACTTCTTTCTCTTCTACACCAATCTATTATAGAGTGTCTGGTGTAGACAATTGAAATGCAATTATTCTATAAGATAAATGACTCATGAACTCTGCAGAGAGGTTTACGTCACTACAATCAGATTGCAGTGACTTTATATATATTTTTCATGATGCTATTTTCGTTTGTCTTAAATATTTTGATCAGTTTATCTAGACATTCAGACTAACAAAACATCAAAAAATATATATTCATATCATGAGTAACCGTTTGTGAAAATCTCAGAATACTCAAATTCACCTTTTGCTTGAATGTTCATTTACCTCACAAATCAAAATAGAATAATTCTAACTTATCACTACTACTTTTCCTTTTTAATAGGAAAGGTCTCTTAGTTATTTTTCCTTCTGAACATAACTCACATGTTGGTAGTGACTTCACTTTCAATGAACTGTTATGTCCATCCATTAACCAACATCGAAGTTCTATTCAAAATAAATAACTTAGACGCTAGTGTACAATAAGTTTCATTCAATCTAAAAGATACTTTCTCTTATGAGATAGATTAATAAAATTTAGTTTATGCGAGATAATATTAATAAAAAAAAAGCACGCATCAATAGACCACAAGAAATGAAATATTCATCAAACTCAATGATAGGAGAGTTATAAATAAATATATCAAATATTCATCTCTTATCTAGTTAGAAACTGAAAATAATTCCTTCTAACATAAGGTACATGTACAATGCATTCTTTGAATTAATATCTTTATCTCTACCAAAAGAAAAGCTTAAGTAGTACTAAGTGGGTGTGTAAAGTCTATTGAGAATATGAGATATAATACTTTAAATAGATCATAATATTTCGAATAATCCTAAATAACAAAATTCAGGGCTCATTTATACATATATATCCATGCATCTCGAATAGCCAATCGATGGGATTGGAGAACTACTCATGCAATACACATGTACAATGACCGATTATTCACTCCATAAACTTATTGTAACGACCCTAAAAATTGATAGGTGAAACTAGAGCCTAATGTATGAATTTTTAAAGTTTAAGCATAAATTGGAGTTATGAAATTTTCCAAAATAAAAATTGGACTTTGCCTTAGTTTTATTTGGTAGGTCCATGTAGGCAAGGGGTGTTTTCGTAAATATTAATTTTAGTTAAATTAAGAAGTGAGTATATTTATTTTATTTCTAATAACTATATATGGTATTAAAACTTTTAAAAAGGTATTGTTTTAATTCATTCTTCAAATTAACCCCCACCCCCCCCCCGCCCCCCTAAAAGTTCTTTTCTCTAAAAGTCCTCTCAAGCTCAAGGAAGAAGAAGATGTGGGCAACTAGGGTTTCGAATTGAAGGTTTCTTGCATCAAATTTTCATGGATTTTCTCAATACTAAGGTATGGTGGCTCTTTATCTAAAGCTAGTTTTCGCTTTAGAACCAATTTCAAAGGGTTTTCAAATTCTCAAAAGTTATGAAAAACTTCTATTTCTTACTCTACTCAAGGGTTCTTGCATTAAATGGTTTTAAATGATGGATTGTGATATTGTTGATATTAAATTGATGTTTTCAAGTGAAAAATCTCATGAACCCTTGATTTCACAAATTTCTATATTTGACTTACGAAATGGGTTTGTTGATAATGATTGGGTATTGATGAATTTATGCTTAGAATAGATTGTATTGTTGATGTTTATGATTTTCTATATCTATTGATTAATGTTGAGGATGGCTTTGGAGGATGGTAAGTTGGCTTAATCTCATATTATTGACATAATTGTTCTCGCTTGGTTTGATCCACTTATGGTGGAGGTGTTTAATTATGGATTGTATTATGAATATGGCCTTGAAGGCATTATCTATTGAATTAAAGTGTTATCAAGTTATGAAGTGTTATAGTACTATGTGAAGGTATTCTTATAGTTATAAGGTGATCTTGTACAAAGTGTTATTGTAGTGTAATTGAAAGTATGTTCTCTTTAAATGTCCATATGTGACGATTGTTGTTGATAGGTTGAATCCACCTTTGGTGGAAGTGTTATATCTTGTTCTTGTGTGGTATTATTGTGAATTGTAGCCATGAAGGCATTGGGGAAGTTGTTGCATAATGTTGGAATATTGTATTATTGTGAATTGAGGCCATGAAGGGCATTATATGAGTGTTATTGTATTGTTATATTATTATATATGAATGAGGCTATATGTAAAGTCCTATATGAAGCTATATGTGTGAAGGTATGATGTGAATGAGTTTATGTGATCTTGTGATGATCCTATGTAAAGTGGATAGCATTGTGATTTAAAGTATGATTTTTTCTCATGATGTATATATGAAAAGATGTTGGATTATGAAGTATCCTTAAATGAAAATGTTGTGACTTGGTTGGTAGACTAAAGTGTCCCTCCTTGTTACTTAAAGTCTTGAATGCATGAATGTGTGAAGTGGGCTAGAACT